TCTAGGAGCTTTTCATCACAGGAACCCCAGGTCCAAGGATGCATTCTGCTCCTGGTGCTTCTTTCTTTGTGGCATGAGAACCCTCTCTTCTCTGTTCGTTTCTCTATTTTATATCTCAAAAGATTGACTGAAGGTACAACCAAATCCTATAGATTGAGTCCTGCTTCATTCACATAACTGCCTCTAATCCTACCTCATAAACATCATAGAGGTTAGGATTTACAACACAAATGATAAGCACATCAGATCACAAAAAGGAGGATAACCATACAATACTGGGAATCATGGCCTATCTAAGATGACATGTTTTGGGGGGACACAATTCAATCCATGACAGAAACATTTTGGGAAAGGGAGCTATTTGGAGAAAGACAACAATTTTGGGAAAGGGAGGGTGTAGGGGCTGCTGTCGGGCAGGTGTTCATCAAGGTTACAGAGCTCTGAGACTGTAATTCTTTAATTTGTTTAGCTGGTTTTGAAACAGTCTCCTGCAAGGAGTCAAAATTGTTGTTTTGATTTCTTTTGGAAGCTTCTAAGTGGCAATCAAGACATGCCACCTATTGGTTTAGTTTTATTTGTAAGCTCTTATCCTCTAAGTTACTGTGCAGAAAGTTTAATTTAGTTAATTCAAATGACTCCCACAAAAGCTTTTTGTCTTTTAAATTTTGCTCTGTAAGTGCATGCCAGCAGTGTAAATATAAGACTGAAGTGCGGACGTAATGCTTAGTCACGTAAGCTGCAGGAGTTTGCTTAGGGGCTTCTGCTTCAGTCTTGGAAGTTGCATTTCCCATCTTATGGGGAAACTTGCAAGTATTAAAGACCTAAATGCTCGTGAAAATTCTACGGTGCAGCAGAAACAAAAGAGAGTTCAGTAATACAGACTGGCTGTGAGGTGGCAGTCCCACCAAACTTATTTTGGTAACGAACCCAGAACGACTCTCAGGAGATAAACAGAAAATGAAGGTAAACAGACAATAGACCTCTCAAAGAGCCATCTTTGCAATAAGCAGAGGCTTCTGTGTGAGAGGCTTACTTCCAGTTAACCCAGAGAATTAGAGGAGACACTTATGGGCACAAGGGACCCTTGCTGGTACCAGGGTGAGCTGGTTCTACGACTTCTCAGTAATGCAGAAGATAATATCTTTCGAAATCCTGCCACCTACACCAATGAATATCTAAGAGTAATCACCCATACTTTGATTAAAACTGAGAGATTTGTTGAAAGCAAAGTGACAGCTCAATCTGGGAAGAGACTGAATTCCATGCAGTGAAATCCAGTACTTCAAAATGGCTACACGGCAGTGATTTTTTTATAAGGGAGGAACAAAGAACTTGTAGTACATTACTTGTTTGGTATTTACAAACTTAGATCACCAAAAGACACTACTTGATTGGTAGTAGATTTTTTAGGATGCGGGACATCCTGTGACAGGAACTTGTAAGGCAGTACTTCCTGTAACCCAAGCTCATGAGGCAATTGGCCTAAAGGTTATATGTGTCTTTCTTAGACTGGTTACAGTGTGGTAACTGCCAGGGTATGTGACCGGTGGTGGGTGTCTCAGTGGTTATGTTGTCATTGCTGGACATTCCTTAGTTTCATGATTAGGTATGCACGGGAGATGGCTGTTGATAGGGTGAAAATGGAGCCAGCAACAAAGCAGTTGTACCCAAACCTTGAGCTGGCCATTTCAGATTTGTCTCAGGTACCTCAATTTTAAAAAGTCCCCTACAGAACCTCATTCTAACCAAAAATTGGAAACATCAGACATTTATATATTAGATATTTATGAGTGTGTAGTATATTTAATTGAAAGTTTATGTAGTGTTTCACTGAATGATACGGAACACGTTTGGGTATCTAGGTTTATAAAGTGATTGCTGATCACTTCAATACTTTAACTGAAGTGTTTATTTACGTATCATACATATAGGTCTTTTGTCTGATATATTACAAATATCTTCTGCCAATATAAGGTTTATTTTATTTTTAGTTTTATGATAATTCCTTATGTGGACATGAATTTAAAATTATTCCTGATGTCCAAATTATCATTTTTTAAAACAATTAGTAGTCTTTTCATTTATTTTTTTATTAAAGATATATTAGTCTACCACCAATGACTGAATACATTCCACTATGTTTTCTTCTCGGGTTTTATCTTCTGTCTTTTTAACGTCGTCACATTTAGGACTATGATGCAACTTAAACTGATTTGTTTGGTGTGAGAAAGAGGCCAAGGTTCAGTTTTGTTTACCATCCCACATCACAGTTGTTGGTCCAACATTTCTAAGAAAAACTTTTTTTCTTTTTTTCACTTCAAATTGCATTGGTTCATAAAACTAGTGATTTACATGTGGGGTTCTTTTTCTGGACTCTTCCGTTCCATTGATCAATTTATCTACCATTTTGTCACTACTACACAGTGTTAAACAAGTCAAACAAGTTTCTAATTCTACACTAGATATCATGAATAATACACTGTAGAAATTATATATTCTTGCATCTTCCTCTGAAACATACTGACTTTCTTCTAATAGCTTTATTCCTGCTGGCACAGGATTATCCTGTGAAGACATGGTTTTAGGTTTTTCTAGGATAGGTCTATTTCAGATTTGGCTTAATCCAATGCATATTCTTTAGTTAATTCCTGCACCATGGTCCTTCTAAGACATATCTCGTTCTGAGATTCAAGAGGAATTATGAGAAATTAACTAAGCTCCCTTAGCCTTGAACTCCAAATTCTCTGTATCTCACATTGGAAATGGCTGAATTTGTAGATGTTTTCAGCTCTGCTACAGTTGCTTTTTACTGGACTTCTGTATACAACGCTCAGTGTTCAGTCAGTAAATAATTTATGGAGCGACTGTGTGCAAATTTGGAGGGATTTTCTTGACGAGGCTTTCTATTGTCCTGTATTTCTCTCCTCAGTTGACACATATTTTTCCAGCCAGACTCAGACCTCTAGGTTAACACAAAAAGAAGACTACTCATTTCTGCTTAAGCTCTATCATCCATGCACCACGAGGACTGAGGTGTGCCCTCAGTTGAAAAGATGGGAAAATATGGATATCATAGGTTGATTTTATTCTTTCAAATGTTAGACGTTTTCCAATTTCTGCTTGCTTTTGGTAACTCAGGTAGTTAGATTTTGTTCCATGTTGAGTATGTAAATACTGTCAGTAGAAATTTTGTCAGATTATAAACTATTCTGAAAGTCTTGATTATACATAATTTTAAATATTTTTCGATACTTAAAATTATTGTAATTAAATTAGATAAACATATAAATAAGTTTTGAAACATAACACTATGACTGTGGTCAATGGTTTGCTTTCTCCACTTGCATGTTAATATTATATATTTAATACTAATTATGTTTGAAAGCAGTTCTTTAGAGTAAAACATGACAAATATAGTTTGAAAGATTATATATTTTCATATAAGTATATGAAACTATATACTTATCTCTCTTTCTACATGTATACATGTATATACATTTTCATATATATATGAAAATAAAGAATAAAATCAATTAATAAGTCAGTAAGAGGGCAGTACAGTTAAAGGAAAGTGAAGCTTGAGTGATATTTCTTCAACAGAAGGGAAATCATTGAATGTGTCAGAATACATTGTGCCATATTAAAAAAGGTGCCTCAAAACACTTCGGTTAAAGACTATTTTAATGTTAAGAACGTTTTGAAACCCCTGCACTATCTAGTGTGATCAAGTGTGCATTAAAAAAAGAACAAGCAGTTTTCTTTCCTAACCCCACAAAAAATACAGATGGTTGACAATGGTCCAAACACCCTACTTGATTTTCAGAGACCCCTAAGTAATGAAGTTGGGTGAAAGGAAGAACAGGACAGAAGAAAGTTGTAGTGACATGGCTTGGATTGTGAGAGCTATTCACATATTATTCAACTTGCTGAGGAATAAGTTGACCTATTTTCAAGAAAC